TATTCATGTGTGTACAAGGCAAATAAAAGACTTTTCTACTTTCAGCGTGAACAGTGCGCTACAAAATAATCCTTCAGCTACGTGCGTCACTGCTGCAAATTGCATCTGCTGATTTTCTTTATGTTTTCATCAGAAAAAATGCTTCATTTGAGGATTCCCTATCGATACGACAATATTTAGGATCATTACTGTGCGTTCAGTTTAGTTTTTTTCATTTGTTTGTTGCATGAATGAATTATGTTTGCCTGTCACACTCGCTGTTGTTGGCAAACACTCTAATAAAGGCACTGAATAGATTCGTAACATCGGAAATAAATTAAAAATTTGGACGTTCCGTACGAGTAGCTCCCACCGGAACCCCGGCCAGTTATTCTAACTGTATGCTGTCGCAGACCTCCGGAACTGGGCCACTGAAGGATAATCGTCTGATAAGCGGTTTCTGCGTAACCGTAAGCAAATCCTATGTTTGATCTTTCAAACTGTAAGATAACACTCAAAATGATTTTATCAAGCGCTTGTGAAATTCGTTGAACCAGTTCGGGAGGCGGGGGGCAAAGTTACGCCCTTCTGGCAACAGTTCAGACTGTCTTCCTTCCCAGATCAAATGCTTCCTCACGAATACTTGCTTTACTTTACTGAACTGTCAGCAGGACGGTGACGTCAAACAGGAACGCACGGCGAGAAAACAACAAAATGATTGTTGCCGCCATTAACTTGCAAAAAATCATGTGAAAATACTTCACTTTTCTTTTTCACATGATGTCTGTACGATAAAACTGCAACGCCACTGGCCACGACGCGATCTTTCCCCTCCCTCTTGCAGCCTCCTACACTCTCCTAGCGGCAATACACGGAAGTAACGTGGTCGTCTGCCCCGCTGCGGTCATTCACCCCACAACGAAACGGACCGGCAAACGGCTCGACACGGCACGTGCTTTACGTCGCCCAACTTGTAGCGGCACGGTTACGGGACTAAAGGACGGACGTTGAACCTCCAGGGTGAGACTGTTGGGAGAAATAAATCTGCAGCCTAATATTAAGTTCCGACTCGAACGGAAAAAGTGATCCCGATGTAAAGTTCATTTATTGTGATGCAATACTTCTAACAGACAAATTAATAAATTCATCTACACTTCATGGAAATTATTTAAAACGAACCATTCAGCATAGGCAATAGCTAGGAGATTCTAACAAGGAACTTGTCAAATATAACCATCTAGATCGTTGTAGCTAAACATCAACCCACTAATTATTCTCTGGGCCATATTTACATGAATTACGCTGCAGAATCAATTTACAAACCATTTATAATTTTAATAAAAAGAAACGTAAGTTATTTTTACTAAACTGCATTAACTATAAAAGCTAACTAAATTATTATGTAGGCTGCATGCTAATATTAGCACGAGTTTAGATAACTACTGGATCAACTTCAAACGATATTATTCAGGGGAGATGGCTCAAGCGAGACCAATGAACCGTTGTATTTCTGCCATCCGTAATTCTGCGAGCCACGAATTAAAGCTATGTAATTATAATTAATTTTAATAGCTTTCATACCTCATTTATGGTTGCTAAATTCGGATAGATCTCATTGAGCATTCTTTTGTTTGAATCCTTATTTGTTACAGTACACAATGGCTCGATATCTTAAATGATAATCATCCAATAAAACTGACAGAGATCTATCGCAAAACACAATGCCAAAGTTTTAAGATGAACGAATATCTTTTCTTTGTGAGACCTTCACGTGTATGACAGATTAATAAGGATTAAATAACAGCCTATAATCGTGGGATTTCCCATGCTCAGTTTTATGCATCCCCTGTAATCTTTAAAAAAATTTAAATATTTTACGTGAGATCCTCTATCCATTTTAATTTCGTCAGTTAGCTTTTAAAGATTATACAAAGATGGCTGTCTTCTGGGTTGTAGCGCCGTGTGGTCTGGTATAATTTTACCAACGTTAAAGAAGTCCTCGCCCTATAATGAAGACAGCAAGGACTTCTGAAACGTTGGAAAACTTCTACCAGACTACACGGCGCTACAACCCAGAAGACAGCCATCTTTGTACTCACCGCTGTGAGAACCTCAAATCAAACTTAGTAATAACTACAGTTCTTTAAATTTTCAGCCATACGAGAATTTAATTCAATCTACGTATAATAATTTTTACACGTGTATAGAAATCGACTATTGTCTAACTTAAATTGATTTCCCGTCTGTTTCATTTGCGTTCAACGTAACAATCACCATAAATACTAATAATCAATTAGATTCGAGGTAGATAACGTAATAGGTTTAAATATAATTCAGCGTAAAAGTTACCCGGGTGATTATGCACCTCGTATGGGACAGCATAGAAATATCATATTCTTAGCCTTGAAACTAGATGGAGTTAGTCGTAATCTTCACGCTCCGACCGCCCTAGCCCCGAAGACAACGCCTTCGATACAAGTCTGTGAAAGAAGTGCACTATGCATGCTGGATAAAACCCCGAGCCTTCCACCGCGAGGTCGGTCAATGGAACAATGAACTACTGTACACTTGCTCTCTTTTCTATTGCCAATAGTTAGTACTGACAAACGGGATTTAATCACTAAAAACACTAAAATGAACCACACTAACGTCACATACTTTTAACACTTACCTAATACTTTCCTATAGGAGTATTACATTAAGTACAAACAATTCGTGCAGAAACTTAGGCGACTTGTTTGAACTCGTAACTGTATCACTGTCCGATTCACATAACAGCCACATATGGCAGTGTATGAAATACTGCCAGAAATTATTATAAGATTTAAATTATAAGGCGGGTAATATTTATCGCGCCCACAAAGAATTATATACATTTACATTCTTGTGACCGTTTCCACATTCTCATTATCAGATTATAGTATCAAATAATTAAACACTAAAACTACACCTTCAACTGGTCTGTATAAGAAATTACGTCTTCCATGTTTAAAACACAGAATAACTCAGAAACGCTAACCCATCTTATACACGGTATTTCATTATCCACACTATATTTGAAACGTTTCCATAAAATTTGGAGATGCATTTAAATTTTTATTAAAATTGGACAAATACAATCGGCACTTTATGTGAAGGCCTACGTACATTTCTGTGCGCATCCAGAGTCTGACGCGCGTAACTCGTTAAATATTTATTAGAGCTAAAATATTTTCGAGCAGTAAGTTTTCAGAGAAAATGAAACATTTTATGTCCAACATCTTTCTCGGCAAGTGTGTACGGTTCTCCAAATACGGTGACTAAATGAAAGAACACTTATGCTGTGTCACAACTCGAGAAGTCGAGAACCACTGGGTAGACTGTGATCAATGTTTAAAAGACTGGAGATCCCTGGTCATCCGGCCCAACAATTTTTCGCCATTTGTAAGAGAGCATTAAAAGTTAACATTCGCGAACTGAAAATCTACAGGCGATAACAAAGTGAACGCTACGCGTAGGCCTACATTTCCTGACATGCTATTCGTGCAATTAGCTAGCGGGAACAATGGGAAATCCGGCGTTTCGTGGGCTCCTCCTATCTGCTCTATTTTATTTGGCCTTACAGTTCCATCGACTCCGTTAAAAATAGCCATTACCTTCCTGAGCGGAAATATTTCAGTGGTAAACTTTCTGTGGTCTATTTTTCTTATTTCAAGGTCAAATAAGACTGCAATAACACAGAAAGGCATAAAAAATTTGTATAAATACGACATTAAATTAATGTACTTATATTATGAATACTATAGCCACGGTGGTCTAGCGGTTAGAACGCTGGCCTTGTAATTATGGGGGTCTCGGGTTCGTTTCCCGGCGGTGCCCGAATTTATAACTTGTGTTGGGCAAGGCCGTGGTCTAGGCAACACGGAGTTTTCCTCCGGGGGCTTCCCCGGTTTCTCCGTGGCATCCCAACAATTACTCCATTCACACACAGAAGAAGGCAATGGCAAACCACTTCTGGATCATCTGCCAAGAACGTATATGAAAGGTCCCAGTCCGAGAAAAGGATCGAAGGATCCTGTTCATATGGACCTGGCGTCAGACAGAACACTAAATAATAAAAAAAAAACTCTGTTGGTCTCCTGTTTAGCAGCCAAGCGGTAAAGCGCTAGTGTTTGGAGGGAATTCACTTCGAATCTCGGTTATGCAGAATGATATTGATGTTGTTTCTCCTGGTTCATCCGGAGATACGAGAATACTATTTACCACAATACACCAAGCTGCTTTACTGAAACGTGGGAGACCAAGAATTTCAGTCTAGAAGGAAGGAGACGCTCAGAAGAAATCGCAAGCAAGTGGAAAAGCGGTTATGTAGGGACGAACTGTTCCCAACAATTTAAATTCTGTACATATGAAAACTAAAGATGAGTAACTTGTGACTTATGTAAGAAGGCCTTCTAGCTAAATGGAATCGCAATCTGATAATCAACAAAATAAAATTAAAAACATTTCAAAGAAATGACTTAAATCGAAACTGAAAAATGTAATGGTCACGTTACGCTTCTACATGACGATCAGAAGGCTAGACAATAACAGGAATTAATATGAGAAAAGAAACCTAGCTCAAATGTGTTTTCTGAGACCACAAGAGGAAGTTATGTATAAGCTGAGAGCAAAACAGAATATATTATAAAGGAATTGCAGGTTACGAACAGAACAGAGAGAATTTCAGACTACAGAAATAGATGCT